CCATCCTAGCATTAGCACTGCACTGATGAGGCCCAGAAGGCCGAAACAGTACTGTCTGCAGTTAGTTATATATATATATATATATACCTGCAGACAGTGCACACTGTTTCGACCTATGTGGGTCTCATCAGTGCAGTGCAGACACTGGGCCAAGCTCTGGAATAAACCATTGCCTGGGCGCTACATTTGTGGGACCAAGTGCAGGCATGTTGCCATGCGAGAGTGCTCAAATCACAACTAAGGTGATGAGCTTCGCCCGAAGGCTAAGTGCATGGCAACCCCATATATATATATATGTATGTATGTATGTATGTAAAGAAAGATGAAGAGTCCCCACGAGGCATCGAAACTTCGGTAAGGTGCCCTTTATACACAAATACATTTATTCAGCGATAATTGAATGTTCGTTTTATTTTTTGATATTTTCAAAGCAAATCCAGTATGCTCCTCTTACCTGGTCATGGTTTTGCACATACTTTCACAGACCTCATAAATCAGTCGACTCCTTCGATAGCTGTATTGTTTATCAATCTTTATGAGTTCATAAATATAATTCTTCGGAAATAGAGATGGGACTCTTTCTGTCCCTGTTGAAGTAGACTCCCTTTTCTTACGGTCGAATGATTTCAAGGAAGTGGGACGACAACTGAAACACAAGTTCAAGCTGGACGAAGCAGCCTTGCGAGACCCTGATCCTGACAAAAAGGTACTGATTCGTTGACTAGCAATGTCACAATTTGTGCTTAGAGTTTTGTTCGTAAAACATGATTATCGAATCGCGTTACAAATGGTAATGTCACGCCCTGCAGCCACGTGCTGACATCGGACACCGTTAAGGTATATGAACTTTGTACGTACGAGACATCGGGTCTTCTGTCTTCTAAGCATGTGCTGCTAGCCGTAGTTTTGATTGCCGAATAAAGCTGTTACAAAGCCTCAACCTCTGCGTCCTACAAGCAAGAAAGCCTAACACCGAAGGGCGCCGTGATGTGATTAAAGAGTTGAGAAGTATAGCGCCATCAGGGACTACAGGTAAGTTCGTTTTTAAAACTTTCCCACTGATGAAAGACAATCAGATTTCGCTAACAAGCAAGAGAGAAAGAGACGAAGGAAAATATATCGAGACGCAAGCTGTAAGCGTCGCGGACTAAACGTCATGCAATGAAGTGATCAGGAATTGCGCGGAAGAGGGATATTCTGCATTGTTTTGCATATTTAACTCGTATATTCCTAATCGGTATGATTCTTTTTTTAAAATCTGATTCACATTCAAGCATGAACTGCCTCGAGCCAAATTGAGACGCTTTATATTTATAACAGACACATATTCCCGCCGTTGTGTCTTTGTTCATTTCGATGACATTGCACCATTTATCGTCATTTTCATTTTTTCTTACTTCTGTCATCAAAATGTTTAGTTTGTCTCGAACGTCTCCCATTTTGTTTAACCAGATTCATTTTGCTTCAAAACATTTACCCTCAAACTCAACCTTCCTTTAGGTTCTTAGGAGGTCCGCTCTTGGACTCCCTTTTTCTGTGAATAGCATTTTTTTTTTGCTAGTTCCACTATTGCCTGAGAGCCTTCATGTTCGACAAATTCTTTAGGGAAGAAAGCTCACCATTGCCCTTAGCGGTAAGGCTATAAAGCAAAGTATTTGAGCTATTTACATTACCTCATCAGTCGAAGACCATAAAATTACCACATATAACCTCCTTGTTCTTTCTTCATCTCCCGTCCCTCAATCAGTTCCTCTCCCACTTGCTTTCGTAAACTTTCATATATACTTTCGCCCTCTCACTTTGCGCTCTGTTTTTGTTTGCGTAAGATGAGAAACTAGAATAGTCCCCCTATAATTTGAGCATGATGAAAAATAGTTTGCTAAGTAAAGTACGTTTAGTTGAAAGTATAAACCAGATTCATTACAAACTTTTATTGTAGCATTCCACAAAATTTGGAAAAAAAATACAAACCAAAGGATGATGAACGTGTATGTATAATTCGAAGAACCATTTGTATCAATTAAGCACGTTTACCCTTGTAGGTAGAGACGAGTGGAAGCTTTTAGCTGAGAAACTGGGGCTTGACCTTGACGAGATTCGTTTCCTTGACAAGCACACCTTGAATCCAGCTGATGCTGTTTTGGGTTACATTGGAAAAAGATATCCGATAACTGTGGGAGATCTTTACGACCCTTTAAACGAATGTGAGCTACACGTCATAGCCGATTTTCTGTAAGATGAGTTCTTCTCCTTCGTGTTGGAGACAGCAGTTAATAAACGTAGTCACCTATTTAAATCGGGTAAATGTTACCGTTTGTACGTATGATGCACGATCCTCGCAGTAGATAGCGCTATTTATGCAATAGCGAAAATCAGGCTTGTACGGGACTCGAACCACTGACCTCTGCGATACTAGTGCAGCGCTCTACCAATTGAGCTAACAAGCCAACTGGGAGCAGGCCGTTAAGTTGATTCGTAATAAACCCGTGAAAGTGATAAATGAGATACAATGAATATATATGAAGTTCATATATTTTTGAACTGCGGTATTAGATACATATGAGTATCTAATACCGCATACCGATACATACAGTATCGCAGAGGTCAGTGGTTCGAATCCCGTACAGGCCTGATTTTTTTCAGGTCTGATTTTCGCTATTGCTTAAATAGCGCTATCTACTGCGAGGATCGTGCATCATACGTATTTANTACACAAGAGTGGGTGTGCAGCTCGAACTAGGAGCCCGAGTATTTAATGCCGTCCGACAAAGTTACACAGAGTAGTAAACAACTAGTCATCACCTCTCGGGCTAAAACGTTTTGTGTGCCGCCGCCTGATACGAAAACCCAAAAACCCAATGGGAAAAATGGGAACGTATTCTCCATCCAAATGCAGGCGCACCGACCTCTGGGGGTTAGAGGTAAAACAGCTTAATTGCATGCAAGATAAAATTTAACATAAAACTAGAAAAGTTCGAGAGCTGAGATGAATACATTAAAAATGTCAAACCTTAAATACACCATACAACAAAAGACTCAATTAACGCCATAGCGGCCCACGTGCTAACATACCAATAGGAAAATATTTACATTCTTTGTCACTGCCACTTACAGTTTAGTTCCGCCGAATGTAAATACATCTCTTCGAAGAAGAGAAAGCATATTTTTGTAAGAAAAACTTCTGTTTTAAATCGTGCACAATCCTGTAATGATTGTGAGAAGTTTATCGCTTTCTCCTCTCTACCATAAATGTCGCGGCAAAAACTGAAAACCTAATGTGCTAGTGACTATATTCCAGAATCACAAAAGGAGATGATTCATCTGTGTAACGAATGCGAATTTCGAGCTACTAAGCACTACTATCCCTTTCTGCTCTCTTCCATAATGTCACGGATAAAACTGGAAACATAACGAGCTAGTGACTATAATCCAGAATCACAAAAGGAGATAATTCATCTGTGTATCGACTGCGAATGTCGAACTACTAAGATACTCCGAAAAAAGACAGTAAGTATCAGTGGGAAGCGTCGGGTCAAAATTGGGCGAAGATGGGATTTGTATTGTTACACTCACTCACTCACTCACTCTCCTCGGCAACATCACGTGGCTTCGCGAAACGGGAAATTGTCCACAAAGGTCAAATTTATGTTCTAAGAGTTACAATGTTAGTTGCTAAATCGAGTCGAAGACCTGGCGAAATTAGAAAATCAATTTCACACGCATTTGTTCAAAATTCGTACAATAAGTTGGGAGAATTACAACAAATTGACAAAACAGGTGTGAAACTAATTTTTTCGTTTCACCAATAACCACTGGCTTTTATACATACTGATCAATATTCAAAGATTTCATCATGAACTTTGGTTGATGATAACTGTATGTATTACTTTTAGAATCAAGAAAACAACAGCGAAGGTTCACTGCAACACCATTAGACGAAGCTAAAATACATTGATTTGTTAAGGTTGTCGTCAAATGTATTCGAAACGACGAGAATATTCTTGTATGAATATGATATAATTCGCTTTTTTTTTGCTTTAGACTCCATAAATTATGATCGGGGATGCTCTCAAACTTAATCTACACAACTTAAGATCTATACAGGACAGGATGCGATCGATGCAGCCGGAAGTACTTCTTGGTCGAAAAATGAACAGACGAAGGTGCTCTAAGCTGGAAATAATGGAATATTTTATTGTATCAGTTTTAACAGTGAAGACCGTTCACCATGAAAACTTGTTTGCTAAAACTCTCTCTTCTAATTGACATTTGCTGCTTGTTAACTGTCTACTTAGCCCGAGATAATATTTTCCAGCGAAATGGACAATACTTCTTCATGTACGGTATAACCAATTATCCCATAAGCACATTTTTGTTAATCATTTCCTTCCATCTCCCTTTCACTCCCTGCAATCTAATTTCGTTTTTTTTTTTTTTTTTGGGGGGGGGGGATAGTGTATGTGACAGGACAAGAAGAACTGTCATCGTACATTAATTTTTGTACATTTATAATTTGTCTCCTACTCAATTATATGCAATATTAGTGGCTGATATTTGGGAATTGGGGAGGTATACACGACCAACCCCCGCTCCTCCACCCCGGCTTAGCTCAAGGTCTGGATCCGTCACTAATTATGGTGGTATTAATTGAGTAGGGGACAATAAAAACAAAAACTTACTACTTATGAATTGATAAAGTCGTTGTTGAAAAAACATTCATGGTTTGTTAGAAAATAAATAATGAATAAATAAATATAAATGAGAGTGTGCAAAAATGTCATAACGCATAACAGCACAAATCCATCAGAACAAACCTATTTTGTCCATTTAAAGTTGTTTTCAACCAACAATATCTCAATGATACCTTAAGAGAATGAACCTGATAGGAAAAAAGAAGTGGCAATTGCTACATTTTTTTCGGGATAATCCTTCTTTAAAGATCTAGTTATTCCCCAGAAGAGTTTCTTTAGGGGAAGTTGATGCGAGTTAGGGAAGTATCGCTTTCAAAACAAAAGAAGGACAGACTCTTTTTCTTCACCGAATTCTTCTGAAAATTCATCATTAGCTTCTGGCGGAAAGCTGACTGAAAGCCTCCTTTTCGAATTAAATCACTACATGAAAATTTTCTTTGTGAAAATTAGTTAGCTGTTACTTGAGTAGACTGAATTCCTTAACTATTTACAATTTCAAGCTTAAGGTTGATGTACGATTTGTCTTGACAACAGTTTTGAGTTAATTATTCCGAAATTCACTTCGAGGAGGACACTAAGAACGCCTATTGGTCCATCCTTTTTACAAATATATTTCTATGACAGAAAAAAATGCGCACATTCAGCTCTGACACATTTTATCATCAAGTTTTAATTCACGACAAAATAAATATACCTAACTGCATGACTGAAACAATGAATAATAATCCGCCGCTTGATCATACTCTTAAGTAAGTGCGCTCAACTATGACAAGGCAGTTGGTAGGCTTAGGTTTGGTGCTATTACAACAAGTCCGCGATTAAGGGAAACCCGCAGTCTACTAACACGTTGTAGAGTTGGCCCACACACATCATGGAGCAGTTTTCCAAAATAACTGCAAATGGATTTTTAAAACGATTGTCGAGACAACGGATATGCGAATCTTGAAAGCCCAGCTTCTCTGCGACAATCTTCCACTCATCGCCTCCTAAAAAATTAAATTGGAAAAGTTCAAAATGCTGAGAAGACAAAAAACGAAGCCCTTTCAGCTTAGATGTCGTAACGTCTATAAACGGTAATTATGTTTTATTGGGGTTCGTGAACTCTTTTAGAGGAAATAATGACATACCGTGACAAACAAAAATAGAGCACCCGAGTTGTGGTAATATAATGTAATATTTAAGGGTGACTTTGTAAATTGACCGAGTGAAAATCGTAAAATGTGGCACATGGTCGAAAAATTTAAAACCTTCATATTTTGCCCAGTGACACCATATAGTGAACACAGAAATGTGGTAAGGTTTTCTTTTTCAGACTTGCTTCTTTATCCTAGAAAATTCACGAAAACTGAAACGAGCGTCGGTAGCCGTAAAATGGCGGAAATCCGTGACCCGAGTAGAGGCAAATGAACTTTGCTCATGAAAAGTGGAAAAGAAAGCAAGCCCATATCAATTTTATAAATTTGTATAGGAAGGATAGAGAAACGGTTTAAGTCTAAAACGGGACCATTTTCATTTAATTTGGAGCTCATGAAACGTTTTTGAAAATCATCAATATTTCAAAATCCAAATATCGTATTTCGTAGCAAATTTTTCATTATCATTTTTCCCATGCGGTATAACTCAGAATCCGCTCAGGTTAAGCTCATGATAAGTGGAAATAGTATTGTTTTCGAGGATATAGAAATTACTTTGGGGCTTTTCATTTCCGCGCAGAAAAACCAGGCTAAACCTTGTGAAAATCGCAACATCGGCATTACGTCACAACCAGGCGGTGTGCGCACTCCGATTGCATTGCATTGTGGTAGCGTTATTTTCAATATGGCAGTAAAAGCGGTACAAATGGGTAGTGTTTGACTGAATATTCCGTGAAAGTTAGGTCATATCTTTTTCCTTTCACTATAGGTAAATATGATTTGATATATTCTGAACGTGTAGAAGTATTTTTCGTGCGTATTTGTCACGTATTATATCGTTCTCAAGGACAAACGCAAGTACTGTATTTTAGCATGTAAATTGAGGCCGGTTTTCGAGCAGGTCAAATTCGTTGTACGTCGTAGTTTGAAGCCTTTCAAAGATTTGTATGACCACTTTGATCCTTCTTCAACAGCTCTGACCAAACGCGCTCAAACGCGCTCCAACGGTACAAATTTTTTAGGCATTTTAAGTGACTGTTTGAGACCCTTTTGTGGAGCGAAAAGGCCCATTGTTGTGTGGGAAAAGTTCGTGTATTACAAGGTCTCTGTCTCTCTAATATGCGTTTGCATGTCAAGGGTCAATTCACAGCTGAATTACTCGTGTCTAGGAATATAATTACTGACTTTGAAATTATTCATCCCGCCATCAGTTGTGAGTGTAACTGTTGCCATTTGTGTCGAGATTCTTGGGCAGATTGCAGTTTCGAATCTTTCTAAATAAAGTCAGTTGTCTCCTAAGAACGAATTGGTCACGGAGGAATGGCCATCCTCGGAGACCCAGGGACTGTGAGTCGATTTCAAGTTAAGGGCAGAAGAGCCCCTGGGGACATTGTCTTACAAGACTAGTTCCAAACGGTCGCAGTCGTTCTGGCATCTGATTGGTGCCAGAAAATCTTTGTGTTTTTCTGTCCAATCAGAGTGAAGTGTCCTTTTGTGTGTTTTAACACAAACATATACAACAAGCTCTGTTGCTCGCTATGTTTGTTTTGGGCCGTGCGACGAAGCTTTGCCCGACGTGAAAAGTTTCAGTCTCAGCACACAATGTAAGAGAAATCGATCAGATTGTCCGCGAAATCTTACCGGAAATTATACTGAATACTTTCGCAGGTATCACAAGAGAACGAGTTTAAAAGTTTGCGAGGTTCGTATAAAACATAATGGTTGCA